GAGAGAGAGAGAGAGAGAGAGAGAGAGAGAACACACCGGAGCAGACCATTCTTAGAGTGACATGAGAGGTCAGTCAGTATTCAGGCTGCTGGAGATTTTGTGTTAGGGAGTACCCGCGGGCTATGGTAAGGGCCCTAAGGGGCCACCCCTACAGAGCGGACAGCACCCGTTCGGGTGTGGACTGTGGAAGCATCGCTTCCAAGTCTCGCAGTCGCAGTTGCTGCAGCGAATGGCTCGGTGTAAGAAGATGTCACAGGCCACGTGGCTCCCACATGCTAGGAACACAGAGGCGCGCCGATCCCTGTCTACAAATTCGACAGGACATGTCAGGGTGCCGTACATGAGTACAATATTGACTTTGATCATAAGTATGAAAACACTCGCATGAGCTGGGCCTTCATAATCCTCACGACACAATGCATGCAACTCACATGCTAACCGGATCTCAGGTGGATCATCACAGAGCGGCATTGAGCAGGCGTCTTGGGTTCCCTGATTACTGAGTCCTTCTCTATGGGCAGATGACGACGGCGGTGGTGGGAGGGGGTCAGCCAAAGCAAGGGCATCGAGCTGCTGCAGGATTTTGTCCGCAACAGTTCTCCCTGATGGTGTAAGCCCTCCTGTACCGTGCACTGCAAGCGGCTCAAGTGGGACTCTATTTTTCTCCTCAGGCTGCTGGGTTTGTCGTTTGCCAGGCAAGGAAGAGGGAAGTTTCGACTGGAGTTCCAGTAGGTGCGTGCCCAAATCGGCATGCGGGACATGCTGAAAGAGGATGTGGCGGATGATGGCCGCAGGGATGGTCCACACAGTAGAGACATCAACTTTCGATGATAGCTTCCTGGTCACATTGACAACACATGGCATGCAGCTGACATGGCAGTAGGAACGCTGGCTGACATGCGCAGCTATTTAAACATGGCAAGTACGGCCACTGCGGCATATTGGGCAAGCAATTAGGGGGTTGGGGGGATGAATACAAGACAGAGAGTCGCAGTTTCCGTGGCAAAGGCTAGCAGTGACCATCCCTTCATAGTGTTCGGAGCAGAGACTGTGCAGTGTGCATGCCAACCGAACTGTAGCTGTGCGACGACACCATGGGAGGGCACAGCCACCGTCCTCAGGAGAAGTCTGGTGATTGCCAGAAGGAGAATCTGTTCCGTCTACACAGGGAGGTGACACTGCTTAGCCATGTGCAGGGGAAGAGGGTGGGTGTTCAGCAGGGTTGCTTTCCGGAGGCTGTTGCGCTTACAAATGCAAAGGAACATAGTGTTCCTGACGGACAAACCAGATGGAGTGAGAATTTGCTGCTTGGTTGTAGAAAGAGTTCATACTTCCCACCGTGTGCACCCTACTGCCATTTTCCCATAAGACCCATGAATTATCCGCAAGGGTGACAGCACTGAAATGACCTGGACGATGCAAGATGCATGCGCGAATATGTGGGTCCAGGTCGGGCAAGGGGTTCTGGGGAGCAGGCTGCAGTTGTAGTCTTCTTCCCATGAATGTCATAGACAGGACTGCGATGTTCACTCCAGGTGCAGTACTGTCATCCTCTGGGAAGACAGCACTGGGCTCTTCTTCTATCCAGCAGATGATATTGGTAAAATCAGAAACCGTACAAGGGTTGCAATTATAAGCAAGAAGACATACATTAATAGCATAGTGTGCACAGTGTCCTTGCTGTAGTATGATGAGATATGTGTGTGTGTGTGTGTGTGTGTGTGTGTGTGTGTGTGTGTGTGTGTGTGTGTGTGTGTGTGTGTGTGTGTGTGTATTGGGGGAAGTGAGGAGAGGCAGAGTAGAAATGAGTGTGCTAGGGTTCTTCATTTTCACTCTCACTATTATTAAAGCCTCCATAAAAGCTGAACAGGACCATTCTATCTTGGTGTGCATGTCTCAATGACTCTCATGTATCTCTAAAGAGGTTGCAGGTTCTGATGTTCCCAAGGATCTGGATGCAGCCGAGCCAAAGGACACATACCATGTCATAGGCAGGAGCTGATGCTGGAATGATACGCAATGTTGACAGCACCATACCAGCACCCATGGCAAGTAGGGGTGCAGAAATCCTTGATCCCCAAGATGTCCTGCACTCGAGAACCTGCAAGTCCGACCGAGCACAGCAGAAAATTACCCCCTATGCCAGCACACATGTCAGACAAACCCTAAACTTCAACCCCAAGATGTTCATGCCTTGAAAGGAAAAACTTTGGGGTCTTTCAAGAGATGACAAGGGCTGCAGAAACATGGTCTAAAGACTCTAAACAGATCCGTCCGCCCACCTTTCATTCATCATCTTCTTCTATGCTCTGGTCTCTGGTCACACAGCACTGGACCAGGTTCACAATCACAAGGTTTGCTCGCGTGTTCAGAACGGACAAAAAAAAAGGTTATGATCATATGATGCGCCATTCATTTGCGATCCGAATCTTGCTGCATCTTCACATAACCAGCTCTATGCAGTCGATGAAATAAGGGCATACATACTCTAAGGAGGACATCTTAGACCAAACTTGGTCATCATTAGAGCCAGATGCATCCAGGAAAGTGTCGGCGCAAGAAAGAAGAAACCTTAATTGACCACGCACCTTTCCGATTGCGGCACATACGACAAGCACCGTCCAAAGAGCATAACCCGAAGAAGGAGATACGACTGTTGTCGACATTCCAGTGATTCCAGCAACAGCTTGAGCTCGCCTCCCAGGACCTAAGGCCGCATCTTTTCTCTTCCCGGTAGGGGACCAGGAGGGGTTCATCTTCATCTTCTTTACTCCAACATCCAGAAGCCCAATCACAGTATGCTCTCTGAGGATTTCCCTGTCATCCATAGCAGCTGATTGCTTGTTCTTCAATCCATATCTCAGTGAAATCCGTGCCCTCGTTCCTTGCCAAGCACATACACAGTCAGCTCTTTGGATACGACGGCAACTCAACCTCCTACTTACATAAAATATATCACCCCAAAGTGGCCCTCCAGCAAAGAGTCTCCATTCCTGAAGACCTGACTTCCTGGTTCTTTTGTGAGTCCAGGTAAACGGGACTACGCCAGAGCTAGACTGGAATTGGACAATTGAGGAGGGGGAGGCAAATAGGCTATGCTGCATGAGAGAGAGAGAGAGTGGTAGAGGGAGACAGAAAGGGGAAGAGAGGATATCTGACATTTTAGTACGATAGAAATCCTTTCCGCTTAAGGAGTGTTGGCCGTGAGGGAAGGGTCGTGGCCCGCTGTGTGCCGACACCGACATGGGATTGAAGCTTGGCTGGATTCCGTCGATCCGCGTGCATCTATGATGATTGTATGCTCTTGTTCTCACTCGAAGTAAACATACCTGCACCTGAGCTAGACTGGGCCAGGACTCCCACTGGTGTCCTCCAGCAATGTTTCAAAAAAACAAAAAACGAAAAAAAAAAAAGCAAAAAAGACTGGGCAAGGACAATTGCGGAGGACTCGGAGGACACACGTATTGCCTATGGTACATGTGGTAATGACCTGCACCCTCAGAAGACATAAAGGACAACAAGGAAATGTCCGTTGACGAATGGAACAGAGGAACGATGCTTCCAACTGAGCTCACAAACTGCAGATGATGACGTACATCAAACCACGTCAACTCCGGAACAGCATATCTCTGTCAAGTTGAACACTGGGAGAACCCCCTCCGCACGGTTGCATCCTGAGGACGGCCGCATCCATTCCATGATGTAACAGGTGCAACCTGCAGGGTGCAACAAGCTATTAGGTGTGAGTTTCAGGATAAGTGGAGTATAAAAAACGAGTAAAAGGGCGGTAACAACAAAGCCAAAGAAGAAGGGCACCAAAGTGGGACGAGAATGGACCGGGAGGGTCAGGGAGGCACTGGGAAGGAGAGCGAGGGTTGGGGCGCAGCTCAGCAAGGACGGAAGGAGGAGGACAAAGCCAAAGAAGAAGGGCATCAAGGTGGGAGAGGAATGGACCGCGGGGGTTAGGGAGGCAGCGGGAGGGACAGCGAGGGTTAGGGAGGCAGCGGGAGGGATAGCGAGGGTTGGCGTGCAGCAAAGCAAGGAAGGAGGGAGGGAGGGAGGGAGGGAGGGAGGGAGGGAGGAAGGGGGATCCGTGGATGCTTGTGTTCTAAGTTATCAGTCTTTGTGTTTGCCTACATTCTGATTGAGAAGCATGCAGTTGCACTCTTAACGGTTAAACCCTATGTGACTTCTTTTTTTTTTTTTTGGTTCAAAGGTACTTCAACCCTATGTGACATTTTCCCCTATGTGCACAGAAAAGTTGAGAAAACCCAATGGCATTTTTTCTTCCCTGGTGGTACTTCAGATGTCCTGTAGGCTCTCGTCGACTCTAACCTGTTCTGTTTCCATGGTTCTTCTTTGATCAGAGTGTAAACCACAGGTTAGGATGATTTTATAGCTGTGAAGTTCTGCTGTGGTTTGTCATTGCCCGTGTGCCTGGACGGCCCAACCGGGCAAGCCAAGGTCCTGGCAAAGGAAAAAGTAAAATGAAAAAAAAGGAAAAAAAAAATGGTATGCAGAATTATAAACTAAACAAATTTTGCCTCAGGGTCACACTGAAATTCTTCATCAAATAGGGCCGAGGCGGCGGGCCGCAGGAGCGCTGCTCTAATTCCAGCGTTAGGTCCTATCGGAAACGGTAGGATTACCGGCATCGGCAATCCCAGCATGAAAGCGGGTCGCGCTCTCTTATTTTCACCTTCGTCTCCTAAGGCTGGGGTGGGAGGGCCTGCTCTCACCATAGCTAATACGGTGAGCGCCGAACATGAATACGTTGTCGGCCAGAGCAGAAGCCTCGTCCGGATATGGCTTGCCGCTTGTGGGAATAGTAACCATATGTAAGGGAAGAATGCAAGAAACCGATGAGGTTCTAATGTTCAAGCTATATCACCACTGAGATCGAAGAAGGCAAGACAACTCTCCACAGTGCTAGCGGGTGACAGGTATAACCTCTTCAACACGCAAGCCTTGGGTAGACTTGGTGGCCTGTTTGACTAAATTACTACCTGTCCCTTTTTATGGATGCCTTTCTCTATCTGGTAGGTAGTTAAGTTAAGATAAGTTCTTAGTATTTTATTTAATTTACATTAGGTTTCACAATGGCCGATTCAGATCACAGTCCGCTAATGTTGAACGAAGACTAGAAGAAGATAAGTCCCCGGGTATAGATGTACTCCCAAAGGAATTCTGGGAATCAACATGGGATTTCATATCAGAAGATCTTATGGATTATTATCAAGCAGTATGGGAATCCGGGGAAATGGGAGAATTTGTTGGCCAGGGAATACTTACCCTACTGTATAAGAAAGGAGAAAAGGCAAACATGAGGAATTATCGGCCAATAACCCTTCTCACAGTGGTATATAAGCTAATAGCTAAAGCATTAGCAGATAGAATGTCTGGGATAATTCCAGAAATCATCCATCCATCTCATACTGGATTTATAACGGGTAGAAATATTCAATACCTCTATTTTTGGGCGGTCAATGATCATTAATAATGTCATTCTGGCATCTATTTGGTATAAGTCAGGAATTTGGGCTATGGATAAAGACTTCCTTAAACCTCTTCAGCGTCAACTAACTGCCTTTCTATGGAGGGGAAATCACGAGTACAATGGTGTCATCAGCAGAGTAGCTTGGCAGTCTATTATCCAACCGAAAGCGCAGGGTGGCTTGGGGATTCTTGATCCTTCAACCCAAGCCAAGTCTCTTTCAATCCAATGGCTTCAACGTTTGCTATTCATCTCACAGACCCCATGGATACCATTAGCTTTGGAGCAAATCAAACGTCTTGCACCTCCTACGGCCGAACAAATTGACCCGTTAACTTGGTTGGAGAACCGTTCCTAGACTATTCCTAGGGAGATTTCTAAACCAACAACAACAGCCACGATTTCAAGTCGGAAAGTTGTTAGACAAGATTTGAAAAATGACCCATTTTGGGTCTCCATGTTGAAAACCTGGAGACAACTTCCTCTAACTGACAAGTTATCACCAGAAAGGTGGGAGGAAGTGTGTCAGCAACCCCTATTTGATAACAGATGGATTCGAGATTCAAATGGTTATGTTCTCCATTGTATGCACACACCTTGGAAGGGATGGATTAAAAATGGTGTCATGAGGATTAAGGATATATGGGACAAGGATACCAAGGGTTGGATAGATCCACCTAAGCTTAGGAGGCAGCTTAGGTATTGTCATCATCAGATGGAATCCCGGGAGAAGATAATTGAACTCATCCCACTCGAATGCGTTCGTATTCTTAGGGGTGGCCCCAAATTTGTGACAAATGATTGGGTAGCTATTAAGGCCCAACCCCAGGAAATTGGCATAATCCTGAACAATGATCAAAATGAAAGATTTATCTTACAGATCTTTTCTATATCTTCCACCAATGTTGCATCTGCGATAGGTCAAGGGAAAACAAGATGGGTACAGGCTCAACATATCTTCAGGATACGGGTATTTAGGAATAAGGACTCATGGGTTGCCTTCAAACCGGACTGCCCATCTCGGAACTCCCTCTTGACCTGGCTAATTGGGTATGGAGTTCAGTGACAAAAAAAGGAAGTCACAACAGATCATTCAAGAGGAATATATATTCACTCAAAATCAAATCAGCGTATCGTATGCTGCGTCCCAGAACCAATCTAAAAGATAGGGTCTCAACAAGGTGGAAGAAACATCTTAATATAAGTAAAGAAGAGTTGAGATCGGTACGTTGGTTCAAAACAGTCAAAGACAAACCTGCAAAAATAGCTTCTCTCCAATGGCAAATTGAACATAGATGTCTTCCAACTAATGATTGGCTCATTGACAGATCCTCCTTAGAGCAGAAAGGATTAGCAGCAAGATGGTGCAAACTTTGTAAATCCGCTTTCCCAAGTAGAATATCTCCGGAAACCATTGAGCATATCTTTATGCAGTGCCCAGGTTCGGTCTGGCTTTGGAGGTGGTGGGACCGTATCTGGTCACAACTAGTCCCACAAGTCAAATGGCCATGGGGATGGAAAGTTATCCTTCTAGAAACTTGGAACCCGGTTCCAGAGTTAGTAGAAGTAAATGAGGAGTTTGTGGATAATCTGTTCCAAATAGGGAGAAGAGCGGTTATGTGGGCCATCTGGATGAGAAGGTGTACTTATGAATGGGAAGGGGCTAGGCTAGACGGCCCAGACTTCACAGATACAATTAAACAGCAAATTCAAACAGACATTTTGATAAAGTGGGATCAAATAAAAGAAAAAGTGCAATTTCTCTCAGATAAAACCGAAATGCTGAATCATTTTCGAAAATTCACAAGCAAGTGGTTGGGTGGAAACCAGGGAAAGAGAATAGGGAGTGTTGTTTGGACGCTGGACTCAAAAGGGACTATAAATTGGTTTTTGATGATTGGACTACTAGTGAGGCTTCAGTACCTATGCGCCCATTATCAGATTTCCCTGATCCTTTCCCCCCCCCAGCAAATGCTCTGGTTCCAAGCTCTTGGTATGGTTTATAGGAGACAACTACCAGGCTAAGCATCTGATATCTTGGAAAAGATGTTCATCATGTTTGTCTACAAGGGGCCAGACCAGAATAGTCGCACTTTAACTCAGTCTTCAGATGATTCATCACTTTTATCAGGATCATTTATTCAATTAGTACCAGTTTATAACGAGAGATTTGGCGCCGCTCAGTTGAGGGTGAAGAGGTACAGAGATCGCTGGACCCATTTCCCAACATTTTCGGCTTCCATTGCTCATTATTATATGTCAAGGGACGCTGGACCCGCTTTCCAGCAGGTGCAGCTCCCCACCAATAGATTGGAGCCCCTAGTGGTGCTAGTAGGAGTGAATGCTCTTATCATCACTTCTACCAAATACCATTAGGTTTTTGAAAAAAAAAAAAAAAAAAA